GTTAAGACACGAAACATAACGGGTCCTTAACGGGTCAACCCGTCAACGACCCGGGACACCTTAAGACTAAACACTAACCCGTTATTTTCGTATCCGGTTTCGTGTCGTGTTAACGGGTCGTGTCCATAATTGCCAGGTCTACTTTTAGGAGTAAAAAATAATAATAAACATTCAATGCTGCAATGGAATTTCTGCGCATACCTCATTTATCTTAAGATAGTAAATGCAATATTGTGGTGATAAATGCAATATTGTGGTGATCTAAATGTTTAGTTATTTAGTTTTATACGTTTAAATCTCAAACTTAAGAGTATTTCATAACTCTCAATGGTAGAAGAAGTAAATTGTAACTACCTTATAGATTATATATACATCTTGTACATCTTAGAAAATTAATTTTACAATCTTTTACTCTCTTTGCTTTCTCGCTGGATGGCACATCAACACTGCAGCCTTGGGTTCAAGGAAACATCATAAATGGAGTTTAGAGAATCACAAGTCATTATACCATACCAAAGTCTACATATGTTGGCCAAAAAGAAAATCACAAGTCATTAAGAAATAAGTTATTTTTCAAAAATAAAAAATAAAAAAAATTTAGTGTTTGGTTGCATTCTAAAAAATTATCTTGGTGTGTTGATTCATTTTTCAGACAATGAGGAAAAAAAATGGTCAAATGCCTTAAACTTTATCCGATCAACTCCGAAGATATGATTCATTTTCCAGATAATGAGGAAAAAAAATGGTCAAATGCCTTAAACTTTATCCGATCAACTCCGAAGATAAAATCGACGACCTCGCCTTCTACTAGAGATGGAACACAACTGGTTGGTCACCTTCCCATCTCAGACTGGTTGCCTTCTCCAATGGAAGGCGATCAATTGTCGCCTTCGACCAACTGGTCGCCTTCCATTGGAGAAGCCGACTTTGCCTTCTCCGATGAAAGGTGACCAGTTGGTCACCGAGGAGATAGGTTGGGGAAGATGGCTGAAGAAGAATGTTCGAAAAGTGAAGAGAAGAAGCATGAAAATGTTATTATTATTATTATTATTATTATTATTATTATTATTATTATTATTATTATTATTATTATTATTATATCGTTGTAATATAGTTATGTGATATGTGGTGTGTAGAGTGTTTAGACTATTAGTCAGGGACAGTTAGAGAATAGTTATTTAGATATCTCTGTATTCCTATTCTCCAGTTAATTAATGAAGAATTATCTCTAATTGAAAAATTACTTTCCCTAAAAAAAACAAGGGGAAGTTGTTTTCCAGAAAAACAATGTGATTTTTTCCTTTGATCGGAACTAATTTTCCATGATTTTAATTTTTCAAACTTTACCAAACACTTAAAACTTTGAAAAATGATTTTCAGAAAGCATTTTTCGGATTTCGAAACACACCTTGAGATAACACATACAATTTGACACGTGGCCATATGGTGTTTGTTCTTATTATGGTTTTCAAAGATATATGATGAAAGTAACCAGCTTGATTGATGTGAGTGGTCGTACACTCTTATGGCCCGTTTGGTTCGCGGAATAGGTTGGGAATGACATAGAATTCCCAGTAATAGACTTATTCATTTGTTTGTTAACCGTTTTTATTATCAGAAATAATATTCCTAGTAATAACCTATAACCTATTCTTCCAAATAAGGTAATAGCTATTATCAGGCCCCTGGTATTAACCTATTCCTGAAGACTCAGGAATAGATTTTATATTTTATTTCCTATTTTACCCTTCCTCTCTTTCTCTCTGTTTTGCATCTCTTTCAATATGATTTTTTCTCTGATCGGCGTGCACTGAATACAATTGAACAGCACATCTCCGAAAATAAAAATGAAAACAAATTGAAGTAACCCACCAGTTATCAAAGAGCTTTGGAACCCACAAATGCTTATTAACATCTAAAATTGTGCATGAGATGTTAATATCACACATACTCAAAAGACTTATTTTATAGCAGATGTATGAATCCAAACAGTGATTAGGCAATGGTTTTCTATTCCTTAAGAGAGGTTGGGAGTATGCTATGATTTTAAAGGTGCCTTCTACATTTAGGCTCTGGACACTTTGTGGTCTAACAAAAAAAAAGATATAATGAAAATAATTGAGTGATTTTTAAAGGAGTGGACAAAAGATAAAAGTAAATAAATACTATTATGACAAAATTAAGTGAAATAAAATAGTATGTTCTATGTAATTATGACTTTATTAGTATTTAATGTTACCTTTACACGAACATAACTAAATTTAACATCAACCCGTCAAAACAAATCTTTTGATTAGAATGGATGCCTGCTTAGGATTTGAGAACTAAACCATGCACTAGGCTATGGGTGCTAAGATAAAGAAACTTTTTGTTTATAAAAAAATCGATAATGATTTTATAATGGGAACTAATTAATATTTAGTATTTCAATTTAAACGAAGATCCAATACTTTTATTTAATGGTTTTTTATTATTTAATTTTACATATAAATGGGCTATATAATTTTTGAATACATTGATGGTTTGTGAATTAGGTTTTGCTTCTGCTTCTCAATAATCATTCTGTTCTGTGTTAAAGGTGCAAATTTTGTGCTCCATAGCATTTGAAATCGCTCTTGTTTTTGTACGGAGCTGAGGTTGATCTTGTTTGGTTTTGTTAATCGTAATTGGAAAATGCAAAATCTGGAAGGATATGAGATCAGCCTTTCCCTACCACACTCAATGGCGTCCAGAAACAACGCCCACATTATTCATGTGTTCTGTGTTCGACATAAATGGGAGAGCCGGAGAGTATCTTCAGAACGTACACCAAATTGATGTAGTTTCTGAGGTGTAAAAAATTGCATATACTGATTGGTTCTATTTTTGCTTTTGTAGATGTGATTGTGACCTGCTAAAGCTACTTTATGCTGCACTTGATCAGCCCATCATGGACTAAAATGAGTTCTGGAGATGGGTGGATGAGGTAAATAGTAGGATTGGATGTGCCTCGAATGGCGAATTGGCCCTCAAAAGCCTCTCATTTTGTGGTCCTTGGTAGGATTCGAACAACTCTCCTTTTGTGTGGTTTTGGTAAGATTTGAACCCTACATCTTTCACTTACAGTTGTTAGCAAAGCAAAATTTATTGATTTATTTTGAATTGATTGACCAGTTGAGCTATGCCGATAAGCCTGTTATGGTGTACTAAGGCATCTAAAATCATGTACTTGTTCTGCTTTCATCTTGGTTTTGAGGGTATGATGGTTTAATTAGTCATTTGCCAGAGGATATGATAACCTAAAACAATGATTTTCAAGATTGGAGTTGAGAATTGATCTGTCATCCATCCATCAGTTCTGGTGTTGGCAACAACTGACATGCCTGCTGGAGAGCCATATATGGAACCACCTTGCATGTCCAGTAAGAGTAAAATGCTTTTGGTAAATGGTAATTTATTTAATTTCTTGCTCTAAGTGGGCTGTTAGTAGAAGTGGAGGGTATGACATAGCACTGTGTATATACTAGTGGAAAACTGTGTGCAAGGATTTAATATAAGATGGCAACCATAGAAGAGAAAGAGAGAGAGAGGGAGTCATTAATCTGAAAACAAAATTTCATTGAATAATTGATGTTGTAGTGACCCACAACCTTGAAGGCTGAAGCAGTGACCTAGTGGGTCATAGAACCAGTTCATATCATAGTGTATAAGATGCCGGAATTGTTATTATCTAATGTATAGAAACTAGGAACATCTAATAAACGGGTCTACCCAATTACTATATACTAGCCGACAGTATAACCTCAACTATATACAAATAGATACATAAAAATCTCTGCGTTTGCACAAAACCATAATGCCATTTCAAAAGGAATCTTGCATTATGTTTTTAGATCATTTTAGGGAATGGCAGTAGGGGTAAAGGAAACCCTGTTGTCCAGTTCAGAATAGTATCATCTTCTTAGTATATGGTATCAATTCAAACAGTGATCAGTTTATGGCTAGTGGTAAGCTGGTCCAGGACCGGGTGTCTGGACTCTGGATCCACCAAAATCTGGCATGTTTTCTTTAGATTGACTTTTCATTCAAATGAATCCCCAGCCAGCAGGAGGAGTGGGGTTGGGGGTAGGTTTGATTGCTTGAGTGTGAGAATGGCATGCCGTGCCACTTGCAGGTTTCTCAGCACAAAAGTCAATAATTTGAGTGATGCTGCTCTACTGTCCTTGGTGTCACTGTCTAGAATAGGCTGGAATATTGACAGTTCATAATGACCTGGCAATTTGTGATACGACTGTTAACCCGACACGAAATAATATATGAAAATAACAAGTTAATGTTTGGCATTAACGTGTGCCCCGAGTCATTAACAGGTTAACCAACTAAAATGCATGTCTTAACGGGTCAACTCACTCAGCCAATTAAGACCTCTTTTAACCTATTAATATTAGCATTAGTTATAATTTTTTTGATATTATTTTTATCATTTCACTATTTTGTTAGATTTTTTTTGAAAACACTATTTTGTTAGATTTTTTTTGAAAACACTATTTTGTTAGATTTAATTTAGAAACAAGTTATTTCTAAAAAGAAAATTATATTAACATGCCTAAAGATTTTTAACGGGTTATTGTGTTGTATTGTGTCTTGTATCCATACTTAGCCTTATCGTGTTTGTGTCGTTATTGTATCAACCCCATTTACACGGATTGCCAGGACTATTGAATGCAGTGTCCTACTGCACTTAAAGTTTACTTTCATGGAGCCACTTCATTTTTCTTTCTTAGCTGGAAAAAAAAATTTTATTTAGTAGAGTACAGAAAGATTGTCTGGTCTCAAAATTTTGATATAATTCTTCCTTTTCCCAGGTAAAAAAGAAAAAATCAATGGCTTTGCATCCATTTTCCTGCTACTCATCCCTCCTAAATGCCACCTAAACTATAGGTTACTGTATTCTGGATGAAGCTTACATGTTTACTTTCATTGGATCTGCTTAGCCACTTGAACTAGTTCAGAGTTGTTTTCATTGATATGTTGAATCACTAGCTGAAGAAGATCCCAAAGAAACAAACAAACATGGGCAAACCCAGCCGACTTGGTCGGATAGTTAGCTTGGTAACCACAAGGTTCCAAGTTCGACTTCCCATGAGAGTTGCCTATTGTTCTTTTTGTTCTGAGCCAGTTAGCTATAGGCAACTTAGGCTGGTTTATCTCTTTGTGGTCCATTGCACCTTCGGATAGCAGTAGCAGGTGCGGGCTTTCCAGTAACAAACAAAACAAAGCCCCAGCCGGCCCCTAAACAGGATACTAGTAAAGGTTCTGTTGTTTATGATTACCTTGTGCATCATGTTTTTCTTTTAAACAATTGCTTAGCAATGAGACTTCCTTTTATACACCACACAAAATTCAGTGCATATGTTTCACATGGTATGCTTAATAATGCATCTAAAAGTCTACTCTGTCGTCTCTCTCCCTCACATGCACTCTCTGTCTCTATAGAGTGCTTGGCCACTCTGAATACTCTCATAAGAACTTAGTTTATTTTAGTTGCACCTTAGATAAATAGGGCTTATTAACTCCTGCACACCGAGCTTGGGAGAGTGCATGTAACCTCTTAGCAATGAAATGTTACATCGGTCTATCTGTATAATCTTTAAAGATGATTCGGTTGGTAGTTTGATAGTAAAGTACACTCCTGTTAACTTATATACCGTAAGATGTATCTCAAAAAAGAAAAAAAAAAAAAAAAAAGGGAGAGAGGGACAGTACAGTAGCAGTATCTGGGAAGAATCTGAAACTGGCAACCACTACATATAGAATTTGTGGAGGCTCTCTGCTATAATTATCGTCATATAACCATAATTGGTGCATTTATTGTTTTGTTTGTCTAGCTTTTCTTCTGAATTTGAATTAATGCTCAAGAATATATAATAGGTTTCCTTGCAGGTTCAAAGCTGAGATTGTTTGTAGCATGGAGGAAGCAATTGTGTTGTATCCTTCTCCACAAATAGGCCATTTGGTCTCCATGGTTGAGCTTGGGAGGTTAATCCTTAAGCATCAACCTTCCTGTTCAGTCATAATCTTCATCGCCAATGTCCCATTCAGTACTGGCTCCACAGCGGCTTATCTCAGCCATGTCTCCACCACGACCTCTTCAATCGTCTTCCACCACCTTCCTGACGTGCCTTTCTCTCCAAACTGCTCTTCTGCTTCCCTGGAAGAGCTTGCCTTTGAGATCCCCCGCCTGCACAATGCTAATGTCCTCCAGGCTCTTAAGAACATCGGTTTGAAGTCGAGAATCAAAGCCGTGGTTCTTGATTTCTTCTGTAATGCTGCGTTTGAAGTCTCGAGTTCAGACCTTGGGCTTCCCACGTACTTCTTCTTCACGTTGGGAGTGTCTGATCTTGCGTTGCCTCTCCATTTCCCGACTCTTGACAAAATGCTGCCTGATAACCTGAAAGATCACAAGGCTGCGCTTGAAATCCCTGGCATTCCTCCCATTTACACTTCAGACTTGCCGGAAACCACCCGCCACCGGACTGACAAAGTGTACAGAGCCACCATGGAGTTGGCAGTACAGATGACAGAGGCTTCTGGGATCATAGTGAACACATTTGAGGCGCTCGAGCCGAGAGCCATGAAAGCTATAACTGATGGTCTGTGCACCCCAAATGCTCCAACCCCGACTCTTTACTGTGTCGGCCCATTGGTTGCCAATTCTAATATTCATGGCTACAATGGCAGTGTGTGTTATGACGAGTTGTGTTTGACGTGGCTGGACTTGCAGCCCAGTGGAAGCGTTGTGTTTCTGTGCTTTGGAAGCCAGGGGAGCTTCAAGGACGAGCAGCTAAAAGAAATGGCGGTGGCGCTAGAAAACAGCGGCCATAGGTTCTTATGGGTGGTGCGGAATAGGGCGAGCGAGGGAGAAATGGAGTTGAACGCAATACTCCCGGAAGGTTTCTTGGAGAGAACGGCAGAGAGGGGACTGGTGGTGAAGTCGTGGGCCCCACAAGGGGCCATACTGAACCACGACTCCGTGGGGGGATTCGTGACTCATTGCGGATGGAACTCGTTGCTGGAGGCCTTGCTGGCAGGGGTGCCAATGGTGGCATGGCCTCTGTACGCCGAGCAGCGGCTGAACAAGGCGTTCATGGTGGAGGAAATGCGGGTGGCGTTGCCACTCGCGGAGACGGAAGAAGATCGATTTGTGTATGCAGCGGAGCTGGAGAAGCGGGTGAGGGAGTTGATGGAGTCGGAGTCGAAGGGCGGGGGAATGGTGATCAGAGAACGCGTTATGGCATTCAGGGATGCTGCTAAGGCAGCAGTGAAGGAGAATGGGAGTTCTCATATTGCTTTGGCAAAGCTTCTTCAGTCCTGGAATTAATTACTTTGGATCTTATTATTAATCATTCAAAGTTGAATGATATATGTGATGATCAAACTTTCATATCTATATCTGTTATAGCAAGGTTTCGTCCCAAGTCTATTAAAGCCCTTTCACGAGTTCCCAACACTCCACCTCCTCCACTTGCCCTCCCCCCCCATGTCCTATGGCCCATAGAGTTATACCATGGATCTAGATTCACATTGCAAGGTTGATCTAGGTTCAAAATACACAATTTACATACTAAATGTTTACAATTAAAATTGTGAACATTTAATATATAAATTGAGTATGTAAATTATGAACATTTAAGTATGTAAAATTGTGAACACTTAGTATGTAAATTGTGTATTTTTAAACTTTTGCAAGGTGGATCTTGATCCACAAAATAATTTGTCAGGAAAATGCTTTGATCAAGTTAAATTCACCTTAGCCCATTATTTTCATTGTAACTTGTAAGTATTTAGGTACTAAATTACGGCAATTTATATCGTGCACCACGGTGAACATAGCAATGTGTATCCAAGTACAAAACGTGTGCATTTCAATTGTTGACCTTATTCTGTCCGTCCAAACGATCAAAATCTCATTATGTGTATTCAGTTAGAAGTTTGTGTATTGTGTTATGAGTTTCTGTGTATTCAGTTAAGAGTTTCTGTGTATTCAGTTAAGAGTTTCTGTGTATTATGTATCATGTTAGATTATGTGTATTTGGAACAGAGAATTTTTTTTTTAGACAATGCACCAAAATGACGCCGTTTTGAGAGACACGGGGCGCACATTGTTATGTACGCCCTGGTGCACGGTATAACAATTGCTAAATTACGCATATAAATACATTCTAAAACACAAAGAACCAATAACGCCTCCATTAAGGCTCGAACTCACAACCTTCCAAATGGAAGTCCAACCCGGGTACCATTAGACCACATAGTCCTGGTATTGAGTTTCTTAATTAGTATTTCATATTAGAATGAGACAAATCAATATAAATATTACAAAGAGAAAATTTCAATTTTGGTCACATGACTATAGGGGCATTGTTAATTTCAGCACATGACTTTCAAAAGTGTCAATTTAGTACCTTGACTATGTAATATTTGTCAATTTTGATCCTTCCGGCTGAATTGACGGTCAAATTTGACTGGAAAAATTTAATCAAACATTTAGTCTATAATCTGAGGGGCAAATTCGTCTTTTGATCCTTTCTAGACTAAATGTTGGATTAAATTTTTTCGGCCAAATTTGACCATCAATTTGGTCGGAGTGATCAAAATTGACAAAAATTACATAGTCAAGGTACTAAATTGATATTTTTAAAAGTCAGGTGTTGAAATTAACAATGCCCCTATAGTCATGTGACTAAAATTGAAATTTTCTCATATTACAAATTTCTTAATTAGTATTCCATATTAGAATGACACAAATCAATATAAACATCACAAATTAATTTCGATGTTAACCCATCATTGTATTCGTTCACTTTTGTTTGTTTGTTTCAAAACTAGCTTATTCTTACATGACATTTGATGAGAGTAGATGGGTAAGGATACGTCGAATCTTCAGCGATCCAATTTATATTCACTTACAACAAAATACGACGTAGATCTAATCTACCAAATATGTTAATAGTCGTATATTGAATTGGATCCACACCTTTAATGAATGCAGAAGGATTTTTCAAATTCACTTTTAGTGGATTGGAAGCTAATTCACTCCACGTTCCCGCACTAACCGGCAGTGCCCATTGTACTAGTGGCGACGTGACTGCTTCTTCCGCCACCTTAACGTCGGGCGCCCCGCCACACCAGATGGACACACAGGGGCGCACCCAACGAACTCGGGGTGCCTCTGTCGCCGAAGGCCATTGCGCCGGCTGACGCAACCCGTCGACGTTCCGCGTTTGGTGGTTGGCTGGTCGCCCCCTCCACGAGACTCTTTCAGGCTTGCTTCCTCCAATTCATTCCAACCACGTGTGCCACGTTCCCCAGACTCACACAAGTGATGGAGCGGCCTAGTGGGTTGGGTCGCGCGTGCTATATTCGAGGTCTTAGATTTGATCCTTGCTGGTAGCATCCCCCTTTACTATTTTACTCCAAGGCTCCAACCCATGATGTGGTGCTTGTTGCCTCCACCGGTCTGACATGACCCCACCGCCGACTGCTGACGTTTTCGTCCCGACGAAGTCCTTCTCTTTCATCTTTTGTACCTTTTTGGGCCATTATGCCTTTCTAGCTCAACAAAATTTGAGACAATCTCTTTCCTTCTCTATCTCATTGGGTCAAGACTTTTCTAATAAAATGGACGCCGAGGACCCATGTCCTCATCACATACACATATTTTTATTTTACTTTTAAAAAAGATTAATCAATAATTGGTTCGGAATTTTTTTTAATATTTCTTTTTTCTTTTCTGGTCTCATATGTGGGCCGAGACCAACATACTGGAACCATGCAGTGATGCAGGCTTTGTAGCGAACCACACCCAATTCTGCATAAAAGCCTATAATGGGTTCATTGTTTTCGGCCAAACAAAACACTTTATTGTGGATTGCTACCAATCGTTATGCTGTGCATGGTGCACACGGTTGTAAAACGACGCCGTTTCATTAAAAAGAAAAAAAAAATCATACGGATCGTCGTTAACGGTGTTAGGCGGTTTTCGTTCGTATTCAAACAGTAGGATATATCCACAATTTCGTAACTATATATCCAGAATTACATAACTATATATTCATAATTTGACAACAGTATATTCAGAAATAATAACTACACATTCATAATTTCATATTCATATATTCATAATTTCACAACTAGACATTTATAATTACATAACTCCATATTCAGAATTCTTAAAGTGCGTGTTCACAGCGAACTATATCCATAATTGCATAACTACACATCCATAATTTCAAAACTATATATCCATAACTTCATAACTATATATTCATAATTACACGTCGATTGGAGTTTTTGTAAAAAATAAATAAATAAATAAATTGATTGGTGGAGCTAAACGGTGCCACTAATGGCACCATTACTGCATCATATTAAACGGTGTCGTTTTGCAACCGTGGTTGCACAACATAATTTGCCGGATTGCTACATATGTGGTCGAATAATCCACACATGGCAAATTATGTTGTGGAATCGTGCCCACCTTGCAAGGTGGACACAATTCCACAACGACGGCCGTTCAAATTATTTTTTAAAATAATTATTTTTTTATTTGTTGTTAACGGCGTTTCTTTCTTCGCAATCGTGTTATTTTGTCTTCGCACTACAAATATTATGAATCTACAGTACAGAAATTATGAATCTACAGTATAAAAATTATGAATCTACAGTATTAGGTTTGTGAACATGTGATAGAGCTATATGTTTATAATTTTATAAATTTAAGTTCATAATTATAGAGCTATTTGTTCATAATTTTCGATGTTCATATTCCAAATTGTTGAACTCTGTATTCACAAATCACATAACTATATTATGAATTTACGATATAGAAATTATGAAACTACAGTTTATAAATTACGAATCTACAAAATAGAAATTATGAATCTACCATGTGTCCACCTTACAAGGTGAGCACGTTTCCACAACATAACGCTCCATCCACACATACAATCTTAATTTGAAAATTACACTGGTGACGCATATGGGCGTTGGTGCGCATGTTGGGAGTGCTTTAATGAGGCTCACATATCCCCCAAAAATCAAGATCTTTATGTAAGGATAAAAAACTCTCTCTTCTCCATCTCTCACTTCCACATAAGATTATCACCTTCAAAAAATCTCCTAAAAAATTTACTATTGTGATTTCTCCAAGGGAAGAGATCGAGATTCATTTTAGCTCATTAAACTTTTTCACTATCTTAAGGGTCCGTTTGGAAAGCAGGAAAATGACTTCTGGGAAATATTTTCTGGAAAATGAGTCATTTTCCGGAAAACATTTTCCTTTCCCGTGTTTGGTTGCATTCTGGAAAACTGTTTTTGTGTGTTTGATTCATTTTCTGGAAAATGAGTAGAATTGTATAATTAAACATTTTAATTATTTTATTTAGAATATTACAACATGTATAATAATATATAATAATATAATAATAATTTTAAATATAATAATAAAAAACTAATAATATATAAAAAAATATTATGGTGGTGGTAGTGGTGTTATTTGTTATATAATAATTAAAAAAAAAAAAATAATAATAATAATAATAATAATAATAATAATAATAACTGGTGGCAGTGGTGGCGGCGACGGTGGTTGCGGTGGTATGGTCGTGGTGGTGGCGGCAGCGGTGGTATGGTGGTGGTGATGGCGGCGACGGTGGTTGCGGTGGTATGGTGGTGGTGGTGGTAGCAGCGGTACGTGGTGCTGGTGGTATGTTGTTGATGATGTTGGTGATGTTGTGATGTTGGTGTAAAAGTTGGAAAATGACTTCTCCCAAAAAAAAGGGAAGTCATTTTCCTCCAAAACAAGCCTATTTTCCCAAGTGGAAAATGATTTCCGTTGACTTGATTTTCCAGGCACATCCAAACAGTGAAAACTTAAAAAATGATTTCCAGAACTCATTTTTCAAATTTCCAAACACACCCTAAATGTTAAAAATTGGATTGGTTGAAAGACTGGTATCATAAGATATACAATCCTATCTCCTCAAACCTAACCATACTGAAGAATTTACCTTAAAGGAGTAGTATATATAATATCTTACAAAACCGTTGCAAGGAATATATTACTACTGCCCTTTAAGATGACAACATTCAAAGGAAGAGTCCATTCCAAAATTCTTGTGGAATTGGGAGTTTGTAGAGGGCAAATCATGGCAACTCAATTGACCAACATACTGTTGGGTAATAAGGTTGAAAAATCCCAAAAATAATAATCCTACGAAAAGATTAATATTATATGGGAAAAAAGAAAATTTGGGAAAGAAAGGTGGAGTGTTTGGATATAGGTTTAGCACGAGTTCGAACACGAAGTTCTTTTCCTTAAAACCTTATTTGCTACCTCCCAGAAGTGCTAGGAGCGTTGTAGCCTAGGTTTCCCAGGATAAAACGT